ACTTAACTTCCCTGCTTTCTATCTCTGTCCTTGCAGAGTCTGCTAATGTGTGTGTGCACGTGTCCTTGTGTGTGTGTGTGTGTGTGTGTGTGTGTGTGCCTGACAGCGAGGAAGGAAACCCTTCTGGCTTCACCCCCCTCCCCCCCAAAGGGACTGGCATCAAAGAAGAGGGCTTTCCCTCCCTCCTTCCCCCATCCACACTGTGCTCTATTTCTAGACGCTCTCCTTATATAACAGCTGAAAGAGTGCTAATCTAGCCAGGAAGGCGAGACAGAGGAGAATCTGTTGGTTCCTTCCTGAAGCCTTCTCTCTCACTCTCGCTATTAATGCCTCTCCCTAAACCGAGGAGACAAGCGAGCCGTGTTGCATGAGCCAGGTGAGACCCAGACGAGGGCGAACAAGGCTTCGGAGACGGAGCTCGCAGCTGAAACACAGTTGTCTCCAAGATGTTATCCTTCTGTCTCCCCTGCCCCCTCCGAAGCAGTAAAAGTGTGCTATATCTGTGTGTGTGTGTGTGTGTGTGTGTGTGTGTGAATCAGTGAGTGTGTATTTGTGAATTTCTGTGGGTGTATGACTTTTCACATGCGTTAGGAGACCAGGTTTAATAGAGGATGAGGTATTGCCTGTGCTGTCTGATTGAAAGAGATGGACAGACTGTGTATACATAACAGAGGCAGAGTGTGTGTGAGAGTATCTATGTGTCCGCCTTCTCCCTTGCTGGCAGCTGTCACAGTGAGAGGCTCCACTCCAAATTAAGCGAAACAAAAGGCAACGAGCAGCAGGAAAATAGGACAGCTCTTGCAGGACTCGCTTTTGGACTGGGCCTAAGCTGCACAGGGACCATGGTGAACTATAGTGTGTGTGTTTGTGTGTGTGTGTGGGAGAGAAAGCAGGGGATGCCTTTTTAGTAAGCGTGACGAGTGTATTATAGCTATGGTGTTAGAATTATGCCTGGCTTCTTGCTCAGTAAGACACTCTATAAATAGCAGCTGCCCTTTTGCATAGTGACACATCCACACCAAAGCACGAGCATAATAACTCAAATTAAGAACGATTGCAGGATATGAGACACATCTGTCAACTTGATAGTAATAAAACAAAGGGGGGGGATCGATATTTGATGGTGCAGCTATGATCCATTAATCACCACTGCGCTGAAATATCCCAATAGCTGGATAAAATACAGATTGATTAGTCATTTCGAGATAAAGGACTCTCTTGTTTTCCTCCTAAACTGCAGAGCTGAATTAATGAACACAGTTGCCAGAGGAGAAATCTAATGGCTCCCTGCCTCCGATCTCCTTTCACCCTCTTTGCTATTTGATAGTCTGAATGCTGTCACGCTCCACCGCTGTCACCTGTGTCTCATCCCTCTGAAAGCTGAGAACTTTGCAGACTTTGCCAAACTGAATGGCGGTTACATGCGTGTGTATATATGGTACGAGGACATGTTTTGCATCACACACTGTGTCTACCACAGCTAATAGAATTGAATTGCGGGGGATGATAACATGGTGTTATCTGTAGCGTGTGCTCAAAGGTGTAGACATGCATTTTTCAGTAACATGATGTGAGGGAAATCCAGCAGTGAGGACTCTGCGAGTGGTTAATAAGGTTGTTATCATGGGGTTATTGCTTCCTTAAAGGAGTCTGATGGAGAGATTTACTGCCAGAAGTCACTTGTAGAAGTCACTTTAACTATTATGATTCTGTCTTTGGGGTGGGGAGTTTGAATCCCAGGTTGGGGGAGTCCTTCTATGTGGAGTTTGCATGTTCTCCCTGTGTCAGCGTGGGTTTTCTCCCGGTACTCTGGCTTCCTCCCACATTCCAAAGACATGCAGGTTAATTGGTGACTCTAAATTGGCCGTAGGTGTGAATGTCTCTATAGCCCTTTTTAGATAGGAATTGTGCAAATTTGCATGAAAGCTCAATCAGTCTTCTTTCAGCATTGGCAGTATAAAAACAAAATCGAGGAGTGCGGCAAAATGCCGCCTACCTACTTTTGTTTATACAGAATGCACCATTTTCGGGGCAATGTGAGCAAGTAGCAAAACGTGTAGCTCAGCGTGTGACGTAAACAGTGATGTGGGAGGGAAGCTGCGGCTGGTCAGTCCTTCGGCGATTCTCTCATAAGTTGGCCCGTCCTTCACCGTTCCCATCATTTGGCGGTTAATGGCCTCTTCGTTTGTGAGGGCAAGGAGGGCGTGCAATGCCTTGTCTCCTCAGTTGCTCATCTTTACAGTGTCTGTCAGGTTTGCGTTTCCCTCTTGTTAGGCCTACTAGCTGCTCGCTAATTCCTGCTATCAGATGTTTCCTGTTTATCCACCGCCAGTGGCTCGCACGTGCGGCGTCATCAACAGCTCCTCCCACAAGTCATCAACAGCACAACTGAAAGGGTTCCGCCAATATGACTACCCTACGAGGCGGAAAATTGGGCACCTCAGATCAACTCGCCAATCCGGCTCTGTGTGTCTAAACACTCGCAGCTTGCCGGCAAAACGGCCCAAAATTCATGGAAAATCTGGCAGTGTAAAAGGGGCTTATGTGTTAGCCCTGTGACAGTCTGGCAGCCTTTCTGAGGTGTACCCCACCTCTTGCCCAATGTCAGCTGGGATAGGCACTAGCACTCCCGCGACCCCTAACAGGATAAGCAGTTACAGAAAATGAATAAATGAATGTTTACTTTTTAGTAAGCCACCTTTGATATGGGTTTATATATCAAATTATCCATAATTTTTACCATCTATGGCTAGTACCCAAATTCAGCAGTTGCAAACACAATCATTGCATGTGTCTTGGAAATATTTATATGCATACATTTGTAATATATCACACTTCAAATGTATTTTTGTATGCACTGATTACATTACATACAACATTACATATGACATATGACTAACTTTTCTGGAAATTCTTCATCTAAGTTTCTCATCTTTCACAATGAGCCAATCATCTGCCTTGCAGAAATAGTGAACTTCAAGTGTCCTCCAGCAGTCAGGTGCACTGTGCCCATGGTGCGAAGTGTCATTGCTGCCACAGTAGGTGGCAGCAGATGGAGGAGGCTCAGTGTTGGTGCTGCAACTAGTAGCATACTGACAGCCTCTGCATCATTTGTACTAACGGCAGCTGCTTTTAGCATTTTTTTTAATCCATTTTAACACGGACATTTTCAGCACGGTTGTGACCATGCTGATAGCTGCTGTCGTGAAAGGAAAGCTTTTTTTGTCAGTGTCTGACGCTGGAAGTCACTGACCGAGCGCCAGTTTTTGACGACTTTGGAGTGAGACCAGGTTGGTAGGGCAGGTGTCCATTGAATGTGTGCAGCTGTGATAACAATGGCTGTAAAAGATGAAATCTGGCATGTGGATGAAAGGGCACTTCAGCATCTCCAAAAAAGACTCTCTTGCAAACTTACTGCTGGTGTGCCATTGGATATGCTAGGCCTACAGCTTGTGTATTCCACTGAGCAGAGTTCAAACATGTGCGCTTTGGCTACTTGTCCGTGCCTGAGACTGCTCTTGTGGGAGGGTTTTTGGCAACACATTCTCACTCTGACCTCGTCACATTTCGACATTTGGTCATGGACTTTCCACGTCCAGATACAACATGACAGGTACCCTGGGTGTGTTGGTTGTTGATGTTCTAGGATGCTGTATCAAGTTCTGCCTGTTACATGCATTGTCTTCTTTCAAAATACACTTCTGTTTTCACAGGAAATGCTCACTTCACATACAGTCTCTTTCAAAATAAACACACTACGTTGGTACAATATTGCAAATTGACGCTTGTTTTTGCCTTCAGCAACTAACACACATGATTGAGTTTAGAAAAAAAGGCAGGGTTTGGTTTTAGAATCTTACGGGATGCAAACACCGCTTTCTCGGGTGAAAGTCAGTGTTTGTTGGACCCATCCACCACCCCTCCCTACTGCCCTAGTTGGACTTTCGCTGCCTTAACTTACGTCCTTGTCCCCCCTGCGTTTCCCCCTGACATTAAAGGATGGCTTTTTCTTTGGTTTCTGACACCGCAAGTCACTGCCCAAGCGCCGGATTTCGACAACTTCGTAATGACACCGTGGGCTTTAAGTACTTCAATGATACGAAAATTCCTTACTGCAGAAATTGTAGAGACCGGTGCGCCTATCAACATTTCATCTGGGCATTTTTAAATATAAATGTTTTATTTACGGGCCAAGCATCATCTTGTCTGCCTCCATCATGTGGCCTTCAGTGACACACCGGGTCAAAGGGCACCACAGATCAAGATTAATTAGCTTAATTATTTCAACATGTTTTTTCTGTGATTAATTAATCAAAATTACCATAATACCATGTGCCAATGGCAGCAAAGGCACCTAAGATTGCTGACCCCTCCTTTAAAGGGTTTAATCTAATTACCATACCACCATATTCCACAGAGTGCTGGAGGAACAGGGGTCAGCAGGGACCTAGTAGCACATTTTTGCCCATTTTTGCCCTGCAACAGATGGTGGCAAGAACGATTTTTCACAACCTGGCAACCCAAGAGTTGATTTTATTAATTGCTTATAAATGATATGTATATAAAGCATAAGTAAATGATTTGTCAGGTATTTATAACGTCAACAATTGTGCCCCCGTTATAGAGGGGGCATTATTATAAAGTGGTAACATTTAATTTTATCTGCTCTCTAACTTGTCTGCTTTCTCTTTCATAACTATTTCTAAGATGATGTTTTAATTATTAAACGTTGACAGCTGTATTTTTAGTGTGACAGGTGCTAGACAGACAGATAAGTTTTCATATTTGTGCAGGCTCATTGTTGAGGGCTACCAGCAGCAAGGGGCCAATAGTTTACATAACCGGGTATTATCTAATAATTAATAACTGGAGCACAGCAGTCCTTATATGTGATTGGCTCTCAGGAGCCTATTTCAGGAAAGCGCAACAGTAAAAGGTCATGTTGTGATTATGTCACCCTATATACATTAGAATAAAGCTTAATGTATAATTAATAAAACCTTGGAACTTGAAGCCCTCCAGGTGGACCCACAGGCACAGGTCCTCGTTGTCGCACTCACAGCTCCACGGGTTCCCGCTGAGCCCCACCGAGCGCAGCGCAGGCAGCGCGATCAGGGAGGTGATGTTGAGGACCGTCAGGTTGTTCCGACTCACATCCAGCACCTGCAGGGCCGCGTTCTCCAAAAAGGCGTCCTGGTGAATCTCCGAGAGCCCCGGGTTGTCGGTCATCCTCAGCATCACCAGGCTCGCCAAGGGGCCGAACGTCCGGTCCTCGATCCGGATCAAGGTGTTGAAGGAGAGGTCCAGGTAGGCCAGCTTCCGTAGATTCCCAAACGTGGACTCAGATATCTCAGTGAGGGAATTGTTGCTGCAGTCCAGGTACACCAGATCGGAGAGGTAGTTGAGCGCGAGCGGCGGCAGCTCCACTATACGGTTGTTGGAGATGATGAGCTGCCGCGTGGCCAGCGGCAAGTTGACCGGGAAGGTGGTCAGGTGCTGCCCAGCGCATTGAACCACCAGCTGGTCATCACAGACGCACCTGTCCGGGCAGCCTGAAGAGATCACCGGGGATGCGTTCACCCCCGCGGTGAGGAGGAGCAGAACTATGAGCCGCAAGGGTTGCGCGTTTGGCTGCGGGGCAAGACGCATGACACCGCCGAGGGCTTCATCCACCCCGTGTGGAGAGAGTCAGGCGCGGTCACATTCTTCATTGATACATCCTCACCAAGTTGTTTGTCTCAGAAATGATTTCCACAGAGGTCAAATCTAACGCTTGCCCGTGGCAACCTCTCGCGCGTAATGTCTCAGTTCATCCTGTCGTTGCTTCTGGATCCAGCGCGCACCCACTGTCTGGAACTTGACAGCCACACGCCGTCATGGTGTTGATCAAAGTTCATTGATTCATCGGGTTTCTCCCATCAGCTATTCGCACCCTGTAAACGTTCACAACGTCCTCTCACGCTGCGCTGCTTGCAATGATCACGGTCAGTTGTTCCACTACATGTTTGCCATCCTCTCGCTCTCCGAAACACAATCCAAATGAGGGGGGCGCACTGAGCTGCGCGCGGATGGGGGTGGGGGGTGCGCTGTGGAGTGATCTCATGCTTTGGAGTGAGCTGGAGCGAAAGGGGAAGCTCTGGGCCGCAGAGTTAATGGAGGTAAAATGAAAAAAGGCCAGTTAAGTGTGATCCATGCATGTTTGGAATGGTCACAAAGGCAACCTGAAGTGTGCATATAAGATTAAAAAACGTGTGTCTGTGCATATAAACATCTATTTGTGTGCATATATGTTGGGTACTTTTTTGGAGCTTGCCTCAGTTGTGTGTGTGTGTATGTGTGTGGAGGTGGAACAAAATGCAGGTGCACCTGACACCTAGGAGGCATATTGCATGAGACCAGATCACATGGGTTTTTAGGCTTTGGAAACAAGAGAGTGGAGCAGTGATAACAATGTGCTGAGAGGGGGATCCCTATCAGCCTATCTACACCACTCAGACCTATATGTGCAGTGAGGCTTTTACAATAATGTCTGACATGTCAGCCATAGGCAACCAGCCCCCCCAATTGAAAGCGCACCCAATATACAGGCAGCAGATGATGGGACGAGATGAGATGGGACAGGGTGGTCTCAGGCAGCAGTTGTTTTCTCCTCTCTCCAGTCTCAGTATGAGTCCTGAGTCTATTCTTGGTTCTCTGTGTAGGTGTTGAAGTGCTGAATCAGACTCAGCATGATGGAGGAGGAGGAGGACAGATGTGCCGCTGACAGTCCGTGAAAGAAACTACCCCGAGTCGACAGTCAGCAATCGGCTGCACGCTGACCAAACTCACTCTTATTCCCTTCTCTCACGCACATCCACAAAATGAAGTTGAGCCTCTCTCTGGTCTGTGTTCCCCATTGTCAAAAATAGAGCAGGAGGCCTGTAGGCATGTATAACCTAATGCTTTTTCACACTTGCCATCCTGTGGACTGAACTAATCCACACAGCTGTTTTGTGTCAAGGATGTTCAGTGACTTTATGAGGACATCTAGTGACGGATACTTGGTAATGTTTTACACGATGAGCAAGTGCCATGCAGTAATCTTCTTACAGACTTTATTTTCTGATGCATGGTTTGGAGCCTGACTGGTAATTACCCCAGACCCATGCTTAGGAGGGACTATCCAGATTTACCTACTTTGTTATTTTGGATGGCATATAAAGCACCAATTTATTATATAACTCTTGAACAAGCAGTTGAAATGAAATAGCTTCCCAAAGTTGCCAAAGATAACAGACGTGCCAGGCTAAAAGTGGGTAAAAGTGTATAAAATAGTGCATGGGACATATAGAATATTTCCACTTGGTGAAGGAATGGTGCAGCCATGGAAAACACAAAGTCTCAAGCTTGAATATTTTACTAAATATCATATGGCTTCATTGAGATGTTGGAACAATATGATTGTGTCAGACTGGGTAAAAGAAGATGGGTCTAACAGACTTTTACTTAAGTATTTTTCAACCCATGTTTTTGTGTCTAAGTGACTAACAGAGACAACAGTTTTTGAAACTAGTCCAGTATTGAGCAACAGCACTGCAGAAAGCAGCAGCAAAACAGGCTGCAATGTCATCACTTGGGGCATTTGTTGCACCGTCAATTTATGTTCACTAAAACTGCTTGTTTTTGCCACTGACAGGCTCAGATTGTTATTATTAGTGTCTGACAACATTATGGAAAGGATCCCTACAGAGATAGACCGATTTGTTAACGAGTAAGATCCTTTTTGTTTGAAAGGAAACAGCCCTGAAAATCACGATTGCTAAACCTACCAGACTCCATTTAAATAAACGGTCATTTTATTATCATCAAACAGACTTCCTTTAAAGTTGAAAAAATAAAATAAAACTCACAAAACTTGTCTTGATTTGTCTTTTCACTGTTCCAACTATCATCAGCTCTGGTTTGGTTTAAATAAACCTTTAATTCACCCACTTAGAAGTGAAATATGCTGGCTCTATACACACTAAAATTACTGATTATTTAAATGGAGTCTGGTGAGTTTGGAGATGGCGAGATGGGGCTGTTTCTGGTTAAACAAAAAGGATCTTACTCTTTAACAAAAAGGTCTATCTCTGTAGGGATCCTTTCCATAATGTTGTCAGACACTATTAATAACAATCTGAGCCTGTCAGTGGCAAAAACAAACACTTTTAGCGGACATAAATTGACGGTGCAATAAATGCCCCGAGTGGTTACATGGCAGCCTGTTTTTGCTGCTGCTGTCTGCATTGCTGTCGGTCAATACTGGTGAAATTTAAAAAACTGTTGTCTCCATTAGTCACCCTTCAAGATCCCTACAGAGATAGACCTTTTTTGTTGAAGAGTATGATCCTTTTTATTCACCCAGAAACGGCTGTGAAATCACTATCACCAAACCCACCAGACTCCATTTAAAGAAACAGTAATTTTAATGTGTATGGAGCCAGCATATTTTCACATCTAAAGGAATGAATTTCAGGATTATTTCGACCAGACCAGGGCTGATGATAATTGGAACAGTGAAATGACAAACAAGGATGAGTTTTGTGAGTTTTATATTGTTTTTGTCAACTTTGAGTGACATGTCTTTTACAATATTAAAATGAATGTTTATTTAAATGGAGTCTGGTGGGTTTGACGATGGCGATTTCAGGGCTGTTTCTGGTTAAGCAAAAATGATCTTACTATTAAACAAAAAGTTGTATCTCTGTAGGCATCCCTTACATAATGTTGACACTTAGAATAACAATCTGAACATATCTGTGTCTAAAACAAGCGCCCAGTAGCTCAGCAGGTGGAGCAGGCATCCCATGTACAAGGCTCTGTCCTTGCTGCAGCGGCCACGGATTCGATTCCAATCCACAGCCCTTTGCTGCGTGTCAGTCCCTCTCTTTCTCCCCTCTTTCACAGTAATAACCTGTGTCAAATAAACGCATAAGCTAGAAAAAAATCTTTAAGAAGCACTTTTAGTGGTCGTGAATTTAAGGTGCACAAATGCCCTGAGTGGTTACACTGCAGTCTGTTTTGCAGCTGTCGGCTGCAGCGGTGTTGCTCAATACTGGACCAGCATCAAAAGCTGCTGTCTCCATTAGTCACATGGACACAAAAACATGGCAAATAGGAAATAGGAAATTGGACATTGGAAAATATCAAACTCACCCTTTAAAGTCTCTCAATGGGAAACACAAGGGCGAAACTTTATTGAAAAAATTTTATTGTGTCAAAGAATAGACCTTAAAAACACTAACTCGTCTGCACAATTTGGTGCTGACAGCAACCACAACTTTGAATACAGGAAGTAGTTCTGGCTTGGAGGCACATCCACCTGTTGCCTTGACAAATGTTGCCATCAGGCAAAACTCATCTCTTAAATATACAGGCTACATTTTCCCCCACTAAACCATAACCTTTAGCACCTTTGATCAAACCCTCTCCTTTGACCAACATATCAAACACATCACCAAAACAGCCTTTTTCCATCTCAGAATCATTGCCTGCCTCTATCCATCCCTCTCCATGTTAGCTGCAGAGAGTCTCATTCACGCATCTATCACTTCCAGACTGGACTTTTTGCACTGTCATTCTACATATGACAAATGAATTACAAAATGTAAAGGAGAAGCCCGGCCCTCTGTGAGACGAGGGTGTATATTTGTTTTTGGTAATACCCTGGCCTACAGCATGTCGGTCACCTTACTTGCAAGGACTTGTCTCCCATATTTATCTCCATGGTCAATCTGCATTCAGAAAACCTGTTTTGGCTATAACAGTGACTGGCATGTGGGTTGAACTACTGTACCTCAAACAAGTCTTGACACATTAGAGGTCACCCAAAGACAAAAAAGACATCAGTTTCCCACAAGTTCATCTGAGTTCAGTCTCATGTCAGCAGCTCATGCAGTATTCAGCTTGGGTCTGCTGAACAAGAGACACCACTAATATTAGTTTGCATACCTCAACTTGACCTGATTTGTGATGCAGGAAACTCTTGACTGTCAGATCCCTGGTCACCTCAACGGAGGGCAGATTTTTTGGATGCCTACAATTTACCAGGATCAGAGCCCTGGTATTGTGAACCTGCTCATTGGCATGGCGTTACTGAACTTCAAAGGGATGAAGCCATCATTGATGTTATCACTTGCACCTGCTATGCTGTTATGCCAAGGCGAAATGTCACTCATAAAAAAGGATTAGCTCTGCAGTAAAAGTTGACACTGTCAGATAAATATCTCTGACAGTCACATAAAAAAACTATTTTCCATGCAGATGGACTCTTAGACCCATCACTTTAAATCTGCAATATCTAATGATAAATAACTATAAAAAAATCTATTAAAGTAATGATACATCTATGAAATGAAAGAAACCAGAGAGGAGGTGACTATATTCATGCAATCACCTCATCCTCTTCAAATCCAATATTCCCTGCAATGTATTTTATGAGATAACACACATATACATATATATATATTTCCTTTTGTAATAAGTTTCTGAAAGGGAAGCCACTGCAGCTCTGGTTCCCCACCAGACATTGGCTTAGGATGTCTAAAGATCAACCAATGTCTATTTGGGACCACCTTTTGTCACAGGTGTTGGAAGTCTGTGAATTTTCACATCCAATACTCTCAGAATTTCATCTGCATTAATGTGTGAAAGTGAATAAAGCAAAACTTTATGTTTTATACTACACTGCTCAAAAAAATTAAGGGAACACTTAAATCACACATCAGATCTTAATGGATGATATATCGAGCTGCACGGTGCTGGGCTGTGAGCTCAGGTCCCACTAGAGAACATGGGGCCCTCATGCCACCCTCGTGGAGTCTGTTTCTGACAGTTTGGTCAGAAACATGCACCAGTAGCCTGCTGGAGCTCATTTTGTAGGGCTCTGGCAGTGCTCCTTCTGTTCCTCCTCACACAAAGGAGCAGATACCGGTCCTGCTGCTGGGTTGATGCCCTTCTACAGCCCTGTCCAGCTCTCCTTGTGTAACGGCTGGTCTCT